TTCCTTCCATATGGCTTTCAAACGGTATTGGTGTTCCTCCGCCCAGGTTTCCTCGAGGGGTGTTGCTTAGTGTCTTCCGTTTTGTCCTGATCATTGACTGACGTGAAGATTTCCTTTGCAGCTGCATCCTTCAGTTCAGTTTTGTTCTGGGTGTTCAAATTGAGCTGTGGCCTGTCACCAACTTCTTTGGGGGCTTTCAACTTGTTTTGAAGGTTTCTTGCACTAGATAATGGTCAGAACCGACATCTGCTCCCATTCTTCTTCATCTGATCTTGTGTCAAGTAGCCTGCGTCTCCATCTCCACTCTCTTCACATTGAGATGAAGTCAACCTGATTTTTAGTGTGTCTGGTGTCTGCTGAAATCCATGTCGCTTTGTGAATATCCTTGTGTTTTTACACACTGTCTCCAATCATCAAATCGTTGAATGTGCAGAATTCTGCAAACAACTCTCCATTCTCGTTCATTTCACTGAGCACTTCTCGACCCATAATGAGTTCCCTTCCTGTGTTGCCCGCTCCCACTTTGGCATTCATGTCACCTATTATAATTTTGATGCTGCCAACTGGAGTCTTGTCTAGTACTGATTGCAGTTGTCTGTAGAATTCCTCCTTCTTCTCTTGATCCGCATTATTTGTAGGTGTAAAGCGTAGCACCGTATGACTGTGACTTTCCGTCCTTCTTTTTGAGTTGAATCTTGCTGTCATGGTCGTAACCCTGGAGGAGGTTGGTTCCAACTGCATGGGGGTCTTTGGTGGTAATAAAGACATCATGATAGCTACTCCAAAACTCACTGTACTTGTGGTTGTCGTCTGGGTGACAATATCGTAGTAGGTTGTTGACTCTCCAGTTAAGATTTTGGAGATTCCACTTCCATTCAATCTGCTCTCGCTGATTCCTAACACTTCTGTGCCATATCTTCCCCTTTATTTTGGAATCTGAGCAGCCTTGTCAGCCAGCTTCAAACATTGTGTGGACATTCCATGTCCCAATGCTTACTTTTGCTTTCATCGAAGGAGAAAAGACACGTTAGTCAACTGACTTCCCGAAGGCTTTCACCAACCGGCATCATTTCGTCTCCCCGATGCCAGCGAAGAATAAGTTTATTTTTCATATTTCCTTTGTGCTGTGAAGTTTCTTTGGTGACTGGATTGATTTTCAGCGGTGGGGTTGCTAGCTTTATGCACAACCTCCGCTCATTAGTCGGGTTAGTAACCAGTGAATTAGTAAACTGGTAGAGATTTTGCCTTCTCATAACGAAACATAACTTGTTGTCTGATCAGTTTGTTTTAAAAGTTTTTTCTCCTTGGAATGAATGTCAATGAAAGAGGACTGACTTCAATAATTCGATCCAGCTTACTTCATAGTTTACTCGTGCGGTGAATATTTGGAAATTTAAGTCTAATGTAAGCAGCCAAATAGATGATATACTATCACTTGAAGATTTTTATTTTCGCTATAATTATAGCCCAAGATATAATGACTCGTAATAAAAAGTTAGATCCATTAAAAATTATTGGTTAGAAAGCATACAAATTGAATGATAAAAGTATTCAGATATAAATGATAAATTTGTTCAGTGTAAAGTGATTTATCTACCAAAACCATTGTTCATATTTCTACTGTTAGAATGCAATGAAGATGCTAACATGCCTGATACATATAACATCAGCCAAATTTCTCTTAATTCTCCTTTTACGCTTCTTGAACAGTCACAAGCAACTGAGAAAATATCACGTGGAACTAATTGTCTGCACAGACTTTTAGACAAACACTTTCAATTGAGCCTAATTACTTTTAGAAGATCTATCGATTGACTTTGCAGTCTATATGATGCAATGGAGTAGTGATTATTTATTACACGATCCACCAATACAATAATGACTGTCTCGAATCCTCGAAGTTAATACAAAGACTGAACGTCTAATCACTCACTTATAGTCATTATATAGGCATATAAAAACCAGGATTGTTGAGAAACGATCAGAACTTTTTTATAATTCAACAATTGATATCTGAAGTTCAGTGGGTCTCTTTTTAATGTACACATTTTGTATTATTGTTAAACTGTTCAATCCTAAGTGTTTAGGATAGCATTTTGATTTACTCACACTGAAATTATAAAAATGGCACTTCTTGAGGGCTCATCTTTGATTTTATTAGTTTCCAGATGGCGTATAATGACAGTCTACAATCCCATCATTGTGTGATCCCTGAAGGGATCATGAGTGTACATTGTTATGGAGTTTCAAAATGGGACAAATCACCTGATTGTTGCTCTCAAGTTTTCAACAATTCTTCAAATAATGCAAAATTGAGGAAAGAGATTATGTTTGAATTAAACCTACTTTTTACAATCAAAGGAACATTGTAGTTAAGAACGCATTTTTAAGTACCTATATTCATCACCTTTACCCCTTTATATAACTGTAAAATATACAACTATTCGGTTAGTTTGATAAACATATATTTATGTAATATTTTCCAGTATAACGTCACTAGTAATCTCTGCATATTTAGATATTCCACCCTTTAAAAAATTCAGAATAAATCCTTTAGAAACCGGAAAGTATTCTTTTTCTTATTGTCGTTTCTAATTATGTGTAACTTTCATGTTTTCCAGCTATATTATATTACTGGTTAATATTTCAAGCTTTTATCCTATACTGTGTTAGTGTTTAAACCTATTAATACTAAAGCAATTCATCTAACCAGTATTTTCAGTGTAATTATTTGTGCTTGATAGCGTGTGACTACTTCACACAACATTAATGAAATCTTATAAATCTCTTGTTTTTTTTAAAAATTTGTTATTTTGGCTGTTTCACCTTCACAGGAAAACAACCAGAGTCATTTTTACAAACCACAAGAACAAGATGCCTAAAAAAATCCCTCTGCTAAATGCAGAACTAGAGGAACAAATAAAATAGGTGGTTGAAAAGTTAAGAAACTTTTGGTTAAGTAGTCCAGTCTTTGAATTAATGACGTCTATCATACATTCTTATGTAACCCATCAAGTTACATGAAATAGACCAACGATGCCATGCTACTTTTAGTTCCAACTAGTCTAAAATCAAAAGATTGGTGTCTACTTTGCTTATGCTAAGAAGCCTAGCCACCACAACTTGTTACAAGTCTTCACACCCATAAGTATTACGGCGAATTTCAGACGCTGGTTTTTACAATTTGCTTTCGTCTCTGAATTTGTTACAAAACTATTATTGATATTGCTTGAATTTGTAATGAAAATATTTCTGAAAGAGTCCAAATTTTTGTTGTCAAACGCGTACTATAAAATGCCAGGCGCATTACACCAGGTCTAGCAAAGTTACCTTGATTGGCAGAAACTTACTTATTACTATGGACAATAATAAACATCATGACCACTATTAAACCCATGTAAGAACATCTTGAGATTCATGAAAATCAAGTGGAGAACATATTCAAAACGTTTATTTCAACCACTTTTTTGAAAATTCATCAGACGAAGTCATCGAAGTCTTAGTTACCACTACTTAATAGAGGTCAGTAGGTGTGCAGTGTCGTGAACGATATTGATACCTTATTTTCAACATTGGTAACACTTCTGAAGATTCCTTAACATTATACTACTTTTGTGAGCGAAAGCAAGCTATTGAGAACCTTATTCTTTAGAAATAGGAACAATTAACAATTGCATTACAATACTTTAAACCACTTAGAAGGGTAGAAAAAAATATTCTCTTAAATGTTTTAACATACTGCTTTTACTTCATTAAAAATCATCCGCGCCTCTCATCTTCCTAAATCATTAAGGTAGCTTTATCTCCCCTAAAAAACTTTTCATTTCTTTTATCTGACAGTGAAACAGTTTTTTTGCATTTTATTCAGTTGCAATACCTGGACTTCACTGTCCTTTTCTATGAAAGAAAATCGAAAGCTGATGAAAGTATTATGATTGTGCAGGACTTGGGTACTATTACTCGATTTTGTAATTGCCTTCACTACGATATTTAATAAACTAATCACCTATCTGAAGTGATCGGGTAATTGTATGCTTACAGCATAATGGTAAGCACTCTGTGAAAGTCAATTAAAACTTTGTTACTGCCGTTTTCTGCAGTTCATATTAGTTTAGTATAGCAACTTAGGAAAAGTAAAAGACACCTGAAAACCTGATGATGAAGAAGAAAATTGACGGGTACGATTATCTTGGAGGTTTGTATTCTCCAGTTCAATCTCAACTTATACTCCATGTGAGATACAACTAAGATGTTTTGAAGGAATGCGAAGCAACATGAAGCAGATATAAAAAATAACATCACAATATTCGTTGACAGGTAGATTAATTTTATTGTCACTGTGCTATCCACTTAGAATATATTGACCAAATTAGACATTCAGGAGAAAAAGTATGCTGTGACCCAGATTTTCCTTCGATCATCGCCCATTATCAATAATATCAGCCCACCAAACCACGGTTATCTCAGATACTCAGAGTGATAATCAATACGACGCTCCCGTTTCTAACTCAGCTCAATCTCTATTAAGATGAGATATTTTGGCCAGGCAGCCAGTGTGAATATGATGAACGGATAGTAATACGTCACTAATTCACATGGCAGTTGGGTGAAATCCTGGGTGATTGGAGTGAAATGAAGATCTGGTCAGCAGCTGCATCTCGTACCTTGGGTGCTAGAGCACCGTGCAGGTAATTCAAGTACAGCTGATTTGAATCCTGTCACGTCTCAGGTTTTCCTGTCAATTCCAATCTTCACCCAGCAGCAAAAATTATTTCGCCCTTATTTGCGAATACCTTTTTCAGTCAACTTCTTCAGATCACTTTATTACATGTTTGCTGCTTAACTCCTATTGAACTACGTGTACTTGGCAGATGATTTTTCTATGCATACGCAAGTGGGAAAGTCTAAAATCAAAAAAGTTTAATCCCATCTCTGTAAGTGGTAAATTAGAAGTTAATCTATAGCTAAGTCATTTGTTTTCAATGATCACACTAAGTCTAGGCATGCAGACACAACGATATATATATGATAATATCAGTCATGTCAAACTTTTATTTGCACTACCATAGTTTACAAGGATAACTAAGAATTCAATTTCATCTTCACTCCTACCTTAGATAAAAGTTGTGTCCAACGCCCCACTGATTGAGTGAGATACAAACATACCACTTGTGTATTATTGGTTTATCAAAGGGATAATTTTGTAAAATGTGCATTTATGTACACAAATGTGAAGGAAGAAAGATCTTTTCAGTAAAATACAAAGGAGCACTAGGTCAAACTTAGAGTGAAGTTATCTATATCTACATATAATCCTGGTGAATGGATGAATGAGTGAATGATTAACGAACAACTGTTCAGTATGTTTTTATCATTTTACCAGTTTGATTTTTTAAATATTTGCTGATGAAGTAAAGATACGAACAGTGAATACCATAGAAGGCTGCCCTATGGACACAAACTTGTCAACAAAGAAGTAATCATTGCCTGTTGCCAAAATATGGAACAGATATATTCCAGAATTTTAAGTAGAAAAAAAATTAAACAGTTAATTTGTATATTGACATATGTATGAGTATGCGCACCTACATAACTTAGGGATAAAATACTGTATGAGCTATTCTGAATAGTTCTATGTTGACTCTTACAATTTATGATGTCAGCTCCCCGTGGATTAAAAATCTATATACATGTACATACAGATAATAATAAAAATTAACTAGATATCCCAAATGATCTATGTAAGTATCTGTCATACACTTGTGAGCATAACACTGGAATTAGTCAATTTTCAAGCATTGTAATTCTATAGCCAGGATTAATTATAGGCGAAATAACAATGAATTTATACAACTACATGTTACATTTTACCAATGTCTTTCAAATTCTTTTCATCATCTCTTCTATATACGCTAATGCACAGTTTACTATGGAGCATTTCATCACTGAAGAATGCCCACCTAATACATTGGTTGGTAACTTGAATAGTATTCCATTTAATACAATAACTCAGTCACAACATTCATTCAGTACTTTTCAGCTGTTATCACACAATGTAAACTTTTATTTAAATGAATCAACAGGATTACTGTATACACGTGGTCGTATTGATCGTGAGACAATTTGTCCCGACAGTACAATAACTAGTAGTGATAGTGGTGGTCTTATCAGTAATTCTCATCTGCATTCATCAAACAGTAATAAGCTGAAAGAAATTGATCAACTTTTGATGAATGAAGCAAATCATTTAAACATTATGGAACATATTCCACGATCAAGTTGCGATGTATTACTTCAGGCCTTACAATTTATGCATAACCCTAATTCACGTGATAGTGATGATCAACAACATCGAGTAATTTTAATAAAAATATTTATTCTGGATATAAATGATAATGCCCCATCGTGGCAAGAGAATATCATTCAAATTAATGTTCCAGAGCATACACCAATCGGTACAAGAATACCTTTGCCAACAGCTAATGATCCGGATTGTGGACCTATTAATACAACAGTCAGTTATTCGGTACTTGAACAAAATACAAATCTTCATTCTTCTGATACAGATACAGAAGTCAACTATTTAGCTCGTAATGCCTTTCATTTAGACGCAGAAGTGATTTCCAATCCTGAAATGAATCAAAACGTAGTATGGAATTATCAGACTATTAGTTGTAACCCTCGAGTTTTTCGTCTATGGCTTCGTATTACGCAAGATTTAGACTGCGATGATGACTCCGATAAATTGGATGCTACAAACACAGCAAAGTTGTATCCATCAGAAACTGTTAAAGTCAAACAGCTAAAATTAGCTTTATTAGCTTCTGATGGTGGTCAGCCGGTTAGTTTGACAGGTACTGTAATTATTAACATAACAGTCACTGATATTAATGATCACTCACCTGAGTTTGTCACTCCAGACCGATATCAGCCTAAAGCCTCTATTGGGTTATCTTCAGTTCAGCTGCCAAGTGTCTATTCTGAAAACGGAGAACTATACATACAAATTCCTGAAAACACTCCTGCTGGACGTGTAGTCTACAAAGCACAGGCAGTTGACAGGGATGAATCAGATAAAGAAAAACTTCGATATACACTGGGAACATCGGCTGGTTTAGATGTCAGAGAAACATTTAGAATAGATCCGAAATCAGGAGAAGTTACCCTTTTGCGTGCACCAGATTACGAGACCCATAGATTACATATTTTGCCGATAACCGTCACAGACGGTAAACACTTGATCACCCATAAATTGAATGTACGAATTCAAAATGTCAATGATCACCCTCCTATAATTTCAGTTCGCCCAGTTATCAAACAAAAGCCGGTTATGATACCATCAAGCCAGCCAAATCGCCTAAATATTCCAAACTATATTCATGGACGAACAGTTATTTTGCATGTGACGGAGCATGAACCACCTGGTCAGTTAATAGGAACTGTGACGGTGACAGATGCTGATGAACTTGTGGATCCTATTCCTACTAAATCAGATTTGCTAATGGAAAGTAATACACAACCATTAAACTACCAGTATCAAACTGGTGGTGCAGATACGCCACTTAGTATTAATTGTCAGTTGAATCATAATGGTTTAGTACTAGAACCATTATTTAAAGGTGCTAAAAATCAGTTTAAACTGCTTACGTATACAAGTTTCGATAGAGAACAACAAGCTGACCAGTTTGTTACTTTAACATGCTATGATTATGGTCAACCGCCACTATCTTCCCAAATCGGATTACGTCTCATCATTGAAGATATTAATGATCATGGACCTCAGTTTAAACAAGATAAAATGGTTGCCCATTTGAAGGAGAACAGTCCATCAGGAACAAAAATTTATAAGATTGATGCCCATGATCCAGATATCGGTCCTAATGCACTTCTAGGTTATCGTTTAGATGGACAACATACAGATGATTTTATGATCGACTCAAAAACTGGTACAGTAACGAGTTTAAGACCATTTGATAGAGAGCAGATAGATCATTTCAATCTATCAGTTATTGTTTATGATCAATCCGAGTGGGTAATATCAAAGGATTACAATATTTATAATGATAATATGACAAAATTACCAACAGCAGTTGATTTTTTCAGTCGTAAAGCACCGAAACAACATATTGTACATGGTAACCTATATGTTTATATCGATGATGTCAATGATTGTGTACCAACATTTGAAAATTCATTATATCAGTTAAGCGTATCAGAAGATGCAAAAATTAATCATTTAGTTGGACAAATTGAAGCAAATGATAGTGATGCAACTGAAATCAACAATCAGGCGAGTCATATCTTTTCAAAATGATGACCATAATAGCTATAGTAATTATTATCATTTCATTGATTATTTACCTATCTAATAGACTTGTAATATTCTGTTCCGGTTAACTAAATTTGTAATCAGTCAGTTGTTTTACTCTACCGACTTAACTGTTTTTATCTAATTTAGATTTAAACTGGTACAAATATAGCTGACTATCTAAAGTAATGAAAAATGAGGATCCATAAATATGTTGCCCATTCAACAGTAACTTATAAAGGCTATGATTAATTAGTGGCATTTTAATAATTACTTATTGTGCATGTGTACATACGTTTCTTACCTCTATTGGTAAATTGGAAAACTAATAACCCTTAAATAACTGGTTTAGATGTTGCCTTTTTTATACTGAATTGTTTAGCAGTAGCCTATTCACCATGAAGGTAAACAGTATGCTTCGCATAAACTTTAAGAACAGGTGGAATATGAAAACCCTACTTGAAACTAGTTAATACTATGCCCTAGAAAAAAATGAAAACAATCGTTTATTAATACTGCTCATTTTATTTCTGTTGGTGGATGTTTTCCGTCATGAATATGCATGCTTCAATGACACACTGCTTGATACATAGAATGCAATTTTATCAAAGTTGAATTTCAAGGCTACAAATCATTCGTATCTTCACTGAATATTTCATTCCACAGACTAAAACATGGCCGTCATATATCTACTCTAGCATATTCAACTATAATGTGTTAACTATGTTTACTCAGAATTGTATCTTCAACAAATCCAGATGACAAGTCCCAGGTAGGAGGAAACTCAAGTCCTGGGTTCCATTGCCGGCAGCTAGATAGACCACAATCTTAAAATAGTTATAAGACATTTTTTGTCCAGCTTTCAATACTGCTACTTTATTCACCAACTGAAATCGGTGGTTTCAGTTAATCTTTGCAAGATTATTCGTCTAAGATAGATTATAGGCATAAATTCAAGCATCAGAAATTCTCACCACTTTTTTTCCATGATTAACAATAATCACTGGGTCGAAAAATCAAAAACTTAAATTAATTCAACAACTTTGTGCATATTCGTGCGGTAGACACATTCGTTGTGCGAGGCTCAAACCTCGATAGATGAAGCCAGATTCAAACCCGTTACACATCGGATGGAAATCATATACTTGGACTCGTGAACCTCAGGTTTACTTGTCAGCAGGTAGAAAACGCAACTTTCGAACCCCGTTGAACAATACTACACATGAGAAGTCTTACATGCAATTATATATGAGGATATTCCAATTAGAATTATCTTTGTAGGTGACTGAACTAACAAACTGAAAGTATGAAATTTTTACAAAATCTAGTGTATGTTATTTGAAGATAAACTTCTACCTGCTACAGATGAACAGGAACTTATTAGGTTCAAAGGAAAGAAATCTCTGTAATATACTGTGGTAAACTCATTTCTAAAAGTCACCTTAAATGTTTGGACCGTCAAAACTTCGATCACTTATTTTTTGATTAATAAATCATCTATAAAAGATAACAATAATAATAATAACTTGTATGCCCTACTCACTGAAGCAGTTATCAGCATAGACACATCGAGAGTAAAACTTTGAATACCAGTGAAGATCTGCTTTGAAAAAGGTTAATAATATTTGTCTATGATTTCGTCATGTGTTCCTATGGCACTTAGTGTATGTACGTTCATAATGATCATTTTATCGGAATTTAGTTGTTCTCTGAGTTTACAAGCTGAAGTGAAATAATGTATTATAATGAACCAGTGTCATTGCTTTGACAAGACGCTTCTGCTGTAAAAATTTTTTGAGTATTCATTCAGTCTCCTCTGAGTATCATCGAATTTATGTGTGAAAAGTACTTACATTACAAGCATGTATGTATACATACGCTCAATGAATTAACTCAGCAAGAGTGATGTTATCGAGTATCAAGTCTACACTGAACTAACTGAGAGGTATTTGAAAATAAGGATGTTACTTGAAAATGAACCTAAAACTTGATGTCTTGACTGTTATCGAAACATCTAACTACAACAACTGAAGCCCGAAAGGCATAGAACTACTGTGAAATTATTCTTTATTGATACTTGTAACTCCTCATTAATACAGTAGAACAAACTGATCCACATCTGTTGGCAGATTCGCTTCTATTAAGATGCCACTATACCGCCCAGATATTCATTATCTTATCTATTTGGTGGCTAACACTGAAATCAAGGATGTGCATTCCGCCCTTTTTGGGACTTGTCACATATATAGCAACAGCATAGGAATAGTAAATTACAAATATCAAAAACGAATTGTTATCCGTTGCATAAACAGCAGCTTTCGAACCCAGTGGCTCAATGAATACCACTGTGGCGTTTGAAGCAGTTGGTTCTGGGTTCGAGCCCCAGTGGGAATCGCATCACTAATTAGAGTGCAAGGACATCCAGCTGACGAGTTCTAAATAGAACAAAACGGACATCCTGGAATCTGCTGCACCTGCTAAATAGACTGAAATAATGTGAAACTACTTTATATCTTGAAACCATCAGTAATGATAGAATTCCGGTCTTGATTATATTCTCTACGTCATGTTTCCACAACAGCCTTTCTATAACTGCTAGATAGATGACACAGAAATGTTTGGCTTTAAATGGTGAAACTTTCAGTACAATGCTTTGTCAAATATCTTAAACCATGATCTAAGCAGTATTTCTGTATCTTTACTCTTAGATAAATTATTTAAGATAATACTGTTAATAACTGAAGTTGTATGCTTCTGAACTTTAAGACTGGCTTTCTCTTAGGAAAAGAAACTGAACTGGTGTTTCCGAGTTTATTGATAAGCTGTGTATGTATAGTAATCGTATGAAAATGTGCGACTGATGTTCAAGACTTCCAAGAAAGCAAACTCACAGAAATTACTCAAAATGCTAGTAGCTTTGCTTAAGATATTTATACTAATAGTTTTATCTCACGATTAAAGAAACCTCCAGCAGACACTCTTTTATCATATTAATTTCATTTCTTTACTAAATCTAACACTTCGTATCCATAAACCAGTTTTCCATGAGAATAAATTGAGTTTTCAAAAAAAACTGAGGTGATCAATTGCTGTGTTTTTACTTTTATTGTTTTCATCAAATATGTTGGTAAGGACTATGCAATAAACACAATACAATTTTCTTATTCAGTTTACTTAGTGTATGCGACTTGTTTCAAGTTACAGTACGTTACGTTAGCTAGCTGTTCATGAAGAAATTAAGTGCCTTAGTATAGTAGAATTACTAAAAAGTTTAATTTTCTCATTTCCCTTAAATAGTCAATCTTTATAGCAGGCACAGTAGAGCGATTATTAATTGGTGGAGTTATTTGGTGAGTTGCTTTTAGGTAATTATTATTATTATTATTATTTGTCCCTTGGATTCCTAGTGAAACGTAGAGCTTCCGTAGCGTGTCTCCATTTCAATCTCTCCTCTTCAGTTTTTTGAACCTGTCTCCACGACTGCCCACAAGCTCTCATTTCCTCCTCACACGATCTCCTCTTTGTCTCCCTCGCCTCTGACGCTCAAATCATCGTTTCCCCCTTGGATTCCACTCCACAGCCTGACCTGACGCATGAGGTCCCCAGTCAGCCATCTCGGTGTATCCCCAATCCAATCCATCTCCACTTTCTTATGCAGATTTGTTGGGTGACAGGTTCTTTGTTGATTCACTGCCAACCACAGTTCCTACTTGCTCATTCTTTCTGGCCATACACCTGATCTTCAGTATCGAGTGAGCGAGTGTAGGTGGCAGCTGTTGATGAATGTCTGTAGTTTGTTGGAAATGCTTTTTGTGACACACCAAGTCTCTCAACCATCGAATAGAAGCACTGAATTGACTGATGTTGGTGTTGAAATTCCGGATCTCGTTCACGCTTTATGCTGAGTGAGTTGCAGTACAGTAGATCTCCACACTGCTTTCATGTTAATGAACGCCTGTCTTGCTGTCTTTCCAATCCTGGTTGGCTTTGACATCCTCATCTGTGCCTGAGCCTCCTGCAGCTGAAAGAATGCTGCCTGGGTAAATGAAAGAGACAACTTCTTTTAGATTCCTTGTGCTGATGGTGAATGGTGCTTCTTGTTGGTGTTGTTGTTGGATGAGTATCTTCGTCACCTCCGTCTACTCAACATTCACTTGAATTCCCGTCTTCGCCGCCCTGCCTCTTCTGTCAACTTGTTGGTTTTCACTTGTAGATCTTCGAGTTTGTACCACAAGACATTAGACATAAATCATCATTGGCGGTGAAATCCAAATCTTCTCCTCCGGTCTTTTCATCTGTCCAGTGTATGCCCATCTTCTCGCTCCTCACAGTTGTCTGCTGTATGATCCAGTCCACCACAATCAGGACGATCATGGGTAATAGTAGGCAGCCGCTTTTAGGTAAGCTACAGTGGTAATTTTCCAATTCTTTTCTGAGAACAAGATAAGTAGTAGTTGATTTCTGATGTCGAACCAAACTCGGATTGACTGTAAAATGAATGATAATTCTCATCATCGCTATACATATATTACTGGGAAGAAATGATTTCTTTAATGAAGTCAGTACACTTTTGAACAAACTCGGAAATTTAGAATTATCTCTATTCGGATACCTATGTAAAGCTCCACATTCTATTATCACAAGCTTTGGATATTTAATTTTCAAACCGTGTAAAAAACATGCTGAACAATCTTAACGTGTCTACTTTACTTTTATGAATTCACAGTAACAACTTAAAACTTGCCAAAATACAATTGACACTGGGTGATGACTAAAGGTGAAAATAAAATCTGGGCCACCGTTTGATTCAAACGAGCGGCCACCGGGCTGCCAGCCAGGTGCTCTGCTAACTGAGGTATGAGGTCCAACTTCTGACCAGATTTCTAGTTCACCTTAAATTACCGCTCAGTATCAGTACAAGTCTACCAAATCACGGCCATCTCAGATAGTCAACATAATAAAGCAAATTCGAGTATATGAGT